CGCGCGTGGTCGGTGCGTGCAATGGCTTCACCAGCATATTCAGTGGCCGCAGGTAGTAACGTGTCTAAAGGTAAAGTTGGGTCCCGGCCATATAGTAGATAGAAGGGCGAATATCCGGCAGTGTTGTGACGAGATGAGTTGTAGGCGAACGTCACATACGGCAAATGAATGTCCCAATCATGGTGGTCTGGCGCAACGTATTTGGCAAGCATATCTGTTAGGGTCCTGTTAAGGCGCTCCGTGAGGCCATTTGACTGGGGATGGTACGAAGTAGTAAATTTGTGCTTGGTATGGCAAGACCTCAGGATTTCATGAACGACAGCTGATAAGAACGTGCGGCCACGGTCGGTGAAAAGTTGGCGGGGAGCACGGTGCACTAATATTATGTCGTACAGCAGAAAGTCCGCAACGTCGGTAGCGCAGCTGGTCGGGAGTGCTCGTGTGATTGCGTACCGCGTCGCGTAGTCCGTGGCAACAGCAATCCATTTATTTCCGGCTGTGGGGAGTGGAAAAGGGCCCAACAGGTGGAGACCAACTCGAAAGAAAGGCTCGTTGGGAACGTCGATCGGCTGAAGGTAGCCGGCTGGGAGGGCAGATGGCGTTTTGCGACGCTGACAGGGCTCACAAGCGGCGACATAGCGTCGAACAGAGCGGGCAAGTCCAGGCCAAAAAAACCGACGTCCTACCCGATCGTATGTGCGAGAAACGCCCAAATGGCCCGTCATGGGAGCGTCATGAAGTTGATGCAGGACAGTGGAACGCAGGTGCGCTGGGATGACAGGAAGTAAGTCTGATCCGAAGGAATCAAGGTTGCGGCGATATAGGATCCCGTCTTTCACCAAAAACATTCGTAGGGACGGGTCGCGAGGCGTTGATTCCAGTTTGTCAATGATAGCTCGTAAAGAAGCATCCCGACGTTGCTCTTCGCCAATGTTTAACAGCTGCGACATGGAAAAAACGTCCGTGATAGCGTCAGTATCGGTTGCTTCGTCAACAGGGTAGCGGGATAAACAATCCGCATCCTGATGTAATCGCCCTGTTTTGTACATTACAGAGAACGTGTACTCTTGAAGGCGTAGAGCCCAACGAGCGAGACGTCCCGTGGGGTCCTTCAGGGAGGCTAGCCAGCAGAGCGCGTGATGATCCGTGACAACACGGAATGAGCGCCCGTACAGGTATGGGCGAAACTTGGCGACTGCCCATACAAGGGCGAGGCACTCGCGCTCCGTGATGAAATAGTTGCGTTCGGCTGGAGATAGCAGTCGACTTGCGTAGGCTATAACACGGTCGTGTCCGCGTTGTTGCTGCAATAGCACAGCTCCTATGCCGTGTCCACTGGCGTCAGTGTGAACCTCGGTTGGGGCTAATAGATCAAAGTGAGCCAAGATTGGTGGCGTTGTAAGCAATGTCGTAAGTTGCGAAAACGATGACGCTTGGTCATGGCCCCAGGTAAACGAGGCGTCTTTCTTCAAGAGGTCTGTGAGTGGGCGTGCAATGGTCGCAAAGTCCTTAACAAAGCGTCTGAAATACGAGCACAACCCCACAAAACTGCGGACATCCTTTGTGGTTTTCGGAACGGGAAAGTTCGTGACTGCGCGAATTTTCTCTGGGTCTGGACGCACGCCTTGAGCATCGACAAGGTGACCGAGCACGGAAATTTGACGACGAGCGAAGCGGCACTTGGAGGCGTTAAGCTGGAGTCCGGCTCGACGAAAAACGTCCAGAATAGCTGACAAACGATCAAGATGCGAGTCGAATGTGGGCGAAAAAACAATAACATCGTCAAGGTAACACAAGCAGGTGGACCATTTCAGCCCTTGGAGCAATGAGTCCATCATTCTTTCAAATGTGGCTGGTGCATTGCAGAGTCCAAAGGGCATCACCTTAAACTGATAAAGACCATCAGGAGTGATGAATGTGGTCTTCTCGCGGTCCATCTCGTCGACGGCCATCTGCCAGTACCCTGATCGAAGGTGAATAGTTGAAAAATAAGTGGCAGGTAAAGGATAAACGTCTTTTTTCGTAATTTTGTTAAGGTGACGGTAATCGACACAAAAGCGCCATGTTCCATCTTTCTTTTTAACAAGGACGACTGGAGAAGCCCAGGGGCTGCATGAAGGCTCGATAATGTTTTTCGCAAGCATTTTGCCGACTTCATGTTGTAATATTGCACGCTTCGACGCCGACACACGTCATGTTGTAATATTGCACGCTCCGACGCCGACACACGGTAGGGGCGTCGGTGAATGGGGATTGCATGGCCAGTATTTATGCGATGGGTGACAATGGTCGTTGGCCCAAAGAGTTGCTGGCAAAGTCGAAAATGCTACGATAGCCCTCAAGAACGTGGCAAAGCGCTGCAGCTTGCTCAGACGTGAGGTCCGATGACACCATTCGCTCGATGTCGGCGCCCCAAGAACGTGATGGAGTGGAACCACTGACTGAGCTGCAGCAATCGTCAACTCTGAAGGGCTTGACATGGTCATCTTGGAGAGCAGTAATTTTGGCCAGGGAGATACCCTGTGGCAGAACTTGGGTGGTGAGTGAAAAGTTGACCAGTGCAATGAAGGTGCGGTTTCTCCTAATCGTCAGAATCATATGCGGCACAGCAACCCCATGCGTAAGCATCACTGCAGGAATCGGGGCCAGCATGTAATCACCATCAGGTACTGGCGGCGTGGAGGATAAGTCGACATGTGTGACAGAGTTAGGAGGGAGGCGCGTGAAATCAATGCAGCAGAGGCTGGTTTGCGGTGGGCTGGTCGGATCAGAAAAGAGGGGTAAATCGATATGGAGAGAGCCAGCTGAACAGTCTATGAGGGCAGAGTGCGTGGCTAGAAAATCCATACCGAGTATGAGGTCATGAGGGCAATGTTCGATAACGGCAAAAAGAACGACAGTGCTTCTCTCCCCAATAGACACTCGCGCAGAGTACATGCCAAGAATTGCGACAGTTCCTCCATCGGCAACTCGTACAGCTCGGTTGAGGGCGGGCGTGACAACTTTTCCAAGTCGGCGGCGAAGGTTAGCACTCATAATGGACACATGCGCGCCAGTATCTATCAATGCACTGACACGAACATTGTCGACAGTAACGTCCAAAAGGTTCCGGTTCGTTGTTAATGTTAATCGAGGATTTCTTACGAAGGTCGTCAACGCAGCTCCACCTCCAGGAGCTGCACGGCCTAGTTTTCCTGGTCGGAGATGCTGTGAATAGGTCGGGGAGGCAGCACGGCGTTGTGGGGGCGACCGGGACTGATGACGAGCAGGGGACGGTGACTGGTCGTAGCGAGGTCTGCTCAGAGGTGCTGTAGGAGCGGCAAATGTGGTCGGCGTTGATGGGGAAAGTGGTGGGGATGCCTGGCGAGCAGAAGTGGTGTGATACTGAGGTGCTTAATGGGACGGTGGAGCCCAGCGGCTGCGGCAGTGACGAGCGATATGACCAACGCGTCGACAGTTAAAACATATGGGCCTGTCATCAAGAGTACGCCATTCGGACGGATTGCGTTGTATGCGAGGTGCAGAAGGGGTACGATAAGAAGGCTCAGCAGTGTACACGGTAGAAACAGGAAGTAGACCGACATTCGATAGCTCTTGACGAACGATCGCTTGTAATAAAGAGATCGTGGTCGGGGAAGGCGCAGGCGTTCGGTAATGGCGTGGCTACCGGTTGTGCTGCCTCGACCTCTCGACGAATGATGCGTGTAAGGTTGTCACATCGAGGGGCCTGGTGGAAGGCGTCGTCCACACGAAGAAGTGGGCGCTGTGTCCGGAAGGCGCACGATGCTTTGGGCTACGCGACGGGCTTTAGCTTGTTCGAGACGTTGGCATTCTTTAAGGATTGTGTCGATGCTCGAGACGTTGTTAAAAACCAGCAGGTTGAAAGCATCGTCAGCAATGCCTTTCAAGACGTGGTTAACCTTTTCGTCTTCCGACATGGACTGGTCGGCCTTGGAACAAAGGGCCAAGACGTCAAGAATGTAAGAGACGTACGATTCGGTAGAAGACTGGGCTCGTGTGGCAAGAGTCTTCTTCGCAGTGAGCTGACGACCAGATGAATCGCCAAACAGGTCACGTATCTTTTCTTTGAAGAGATCCCAGCTCGTTATGTCGGCTTCGGGGCTTTCAAACCATGTTCGGGGATTGCCGTCCAGGTAGAAAAGCACGTTGGCGAGCATGAGCGTAGGATCCCATCGGTGAGTAGCACTGATGCACTCGTACCGCTTCAGCCAAGTGTCGAGATCGATCGTACCATCACCGGAGAAAGTGCCGGGATCCCGGAGGTGTGGTAGTGTGACATAGGTGGTGGCTTGGACTGATGAGGGCGGTGTAGAGGAAGTACCAGTAGTCGAAGCAGTCGAATGGTCGCCGATGGTGCGACCGCTGCGCGTCTCCATCGAGGTACGGGGGTCGTCCACCTCCACCAATAATGTTACGAGTAACTTGTTTAATGAGCTATTTACAGCGCAGAGAACCCGACGAGCAAGATGGCGTCAGACCAGCATCCAACGGAAAAAACCCATTTTGTCCTCCTCTTTCATGCAGCCGTGTTTAGCGGCTGTTTTGTATCAATATCATAGCTGAAATCAAGAAGAAAAAATAGACATGGGCCGGGCATGTAGCGCGTAGACAGGACAACCGCTGGTCGTTAAGGGTATCTAACTGGATTCCCAGAGAAGACAAGCGGGTTAGGGGGAGAAAGAAGGTTAGGTGGGCAGATGAGATTAAGAAGTTTGCGGGTATAAATTGGCAGCAGCAAGCACAGTACCGGGTTAACTGGCAGAACATAGGAGAGGCCTTTGTCCTGCAGTGGACGTAGTCAGGCTGATGGTGGTGATGTTGAAGTGGGTATCTTGCAACTGTAGTTGCTAGAGAGTTTACCAGCAGCTCTAGAAAGGCTGCTTCTCTAGCTTTCGCTGTGACTGCACTACGTATTTCACACAGGCCTGAAGGCTTTTTTAATGTGCAAGGTTGGGAATTCCTTAGTGTGAGCCTTCCAGGCTGGGCGATGCAGCCAATCCATCACGTGACAATTTGCTGCTACAGGAGGACCCTGGCTCATCAGAAGAGGACACTGAAGCACGACTCCAACAAGAGCAGCACATACAGGTGCAGGTCAGATTCTTGTACAGCCTGTACAGGCTGACAATAGCTTTTTTTGCAAAATAAAATACCCATTTACATGTGCTTCTATATGAAGTTCATCCCACATAACCTTAACTATGAGAGGTGGCCATGTACTTACGCATGTACTTGTTTTCCTTTTCTTCATGGTGACTAGGCTGCACTGTCTTACACATGCTATCATAGTTTAGCACGTCCTGTTCTTGAATATGCGGGAACCTTCCGAATGCCTAAGCATGCACAAGCAAAGACGAAGAGAGAGAATGTCAACACAAAAGCTTACTTCCAACTGATCATTTATTCACAGAAATGCATAATATGATCACTTCTTTCATGATGTCACATAACCGCAATGCTGGTATCATGTGCACAAGCTCAGAAACTTTGTTTCTTTAGTTGGCCTATAATGGAAGGTGTGCCAACACATGATTGACAAGCATTTTTATTCAAATCCACCTCTATTGTCTCCCTCACATCTTAACTTTTATTTCTAGCTACCACCCTACACAAATTACACAGTGTTGTACAAGGCTTTCCTTCTTCAACTTGTGCTCATAACATTGCGCTGAAAAGTTGCCATCATGATAGTTCTCCACCTTCCTCTTGTGTTCTATGTCATTGGTTCGGACACCTACCAGTCTAGCCAATGTACCGCAGAATGCCGAGCAAGCACCCCCTCCATTTTTTGAGATCTGAAATAAGCGCCAATAACCCGCTCGGCATGCATCCGGCTCCAAGAAAGCACACCCCCCTCCCAAATCTGGTTGGATTATCCTTCACCTTAAGGGGGGCACTTGTTTGGAATTTTAGAGTAGCTAAAGCCACATGATAATGGGGCCTAATGTACTACTTCTGATATGCATGGTACAAATGGGTCCTGATGTGAGTCCTGTTTCTTAACCACACTGAGTCCTATTACATCCCATTCAACGCCTGCTAGATCCTCAAATGTCACAGCTATACTTGCCTCATAGTACGTAATGTTCTAGTGTTGAACGCTGTCAAGTTCAGATTTCAATGGCAGCCTGTCAGGACCAGTGTTGCCAACCGATTTCTAGAAAATACTATGTTCCAAGGTCAAAACTACCCTACTTTATATTACACAACTTTTTTTACTACCCTTCGTTTCACCCTACACATAGGATGGCAGGTTGTGAAAGGACGGCAGGTTGTGAAGTGCCCTCCACCAGTGTGTTTTATGGGGTGCCTTAGGGGTCAATGTTTAGTCAGCATTGCCTTGCCCAGTGTTTTATGATTGTGTATTTTTTCATTACCTTAATTATGGTATAATTGCAGCCTACCAAGGGCTGTTCTGGCACCTCTTCGGTGAGTAGAGACAGCCGGTGACCGTCTCTGCGGAAGTTCTCCGGTGATTCCCCACTTTGCCCCTTCAAGTATGGCTTGCGCCAGCATCTCCCGTCTGCAGCAGCTCTGCGCATTCCATTCCGCAAGTTAATACCATGCAAAGAAGCGATGTTGGTTAGCGAAGTCAAGAGTACGCTGGTGGATAAAGAAAATGCTCTTCTACTGTTCTGTTTCTTTATCCTCATCTGCTTTTAACATATTTGTATGTACTGCGCTAAAAACAACACATCGCAGGTATTAGCCGTGACATGAATTCACTGCAAACTGGTGAGGTGTGGTAGAAAGATTAGTGTGTAATGAATGCAAAAAAAAAAATACACGCATGCACTAACAGCTGAATTTCGGCATTTAGGCCTATTTTCTTGTCACATTTGTTTTCATTTACATGATTCACATTGATCACATAACTGAGATTCAGACAAGGCAGCAAACTGTCCTTATTGAAGATACTTTTAGAGCAGAGTAGGCAAAGATTGAGGAACAGCACCGATGAGATCACCTTTTACACTTGTCTTGCATAAAAGAGTTTTCTGCAAAGCTATGTGGAGAAGGTTAAAGGTATGCCTTGTTTTGTATGAGGCTCGTCATTTTAAAACAAGCTCATGACTGAGCAAGTTCAGCTTTTTTTTGTGTATTTGTATATGTTCCCATAAAAATATTGCTTCTTTCCAAGTGTGTAATGCGTTTGAGCTTGCCACCCTCAAATCGAGACCAATTCACATAGCTGTGTGAGTGGAAGCACTAAAATTTCATATAACTTGTGCAAAGTTAAAAGAGGAACGCCAAGGGCACGCTTTTCTTTGTTAGACAAAATATTAATGAGAATGAAAAAACATGGACAGAGAAAGACATCATCATGGTCATCTGCAGGATTTTCTCTTGGGGAGGAGGGGGGCAGGGTGTTGTACCGTGGCTGGGAGAGGAGGAGATCACTGGTGTAGCTTGGGTCCTAGTGAGGCTTGAGGGTGGCCCCTTTTGCGTCCCTCTGCCGATGCCGATGGCACACGCAAGCGCTAACTTGCAATCATGCTCGTTCTGGAAACCAGTAACTACATATATAGACAACATATAGCTTTACAACCATCATAATCGCACGCACTTTGCAAATCCACCTATCTTTATGTAGGTAGGCTAACTCCTTACAGGAATCAGCCGTCAACAGTTTAGAAATGCAGTTATCTGCCAGCCTATCAATCATTTCAGCCTCTATTATTTTGCGGGTCAGTTGACCTTTGCTGGTACTAAGAATGAAACACTCATGAAAAATCAGCATGATGATGGTATGGACATTGTCACTTGCACCTGAATTACTGCAATACCTGCTATGGGCATTGAGGAACCCACTCCTTTTTTATTTCACATTGGAGCAATGTTCATTTATGCGCCACCTGCTCTTACCCACATAATTATTGCCACATGTCAGTGGAAGCTTGCACACAACTGCATCATTACACTTTATATATTTACTCTTACAGTTCGTTTTGTATTCCTGCTTCTTCACTGAGGCAGGTCTGATTGGTCTGCATAAATTCTGCAATATTGTGAGATCAGAAAACAGAACTTATACTTTCACACGCCCTATCTTCCTTAGTCGGTGTGATAGCTCGTGGATATTCGTATCAACTGGGAGCTGGCTGCTGGGAGAGTCTTTTTACACGAGTTAAACTTGCCAAGGCCCGCTACTTCACTGACAAGCACATGCTTAAAGTAGCCCGCAGACCAAAGACAGCCGTGACAGACTTGTGAAGGCCCTCCTCAGCGGAGGGCCTTCACAAGTTTAGTTTGTCAAAAAATACTCCCGGCAGCCAGATGACATGAGAGAAGTGGAAGTCATACCATACATCGACAGGTTATCACACTGACTAAAGAATATAAAAAAAAATGTGTGAACGTAAAGGTAGTGTTTTCTGCTCCCACTAAATTGCAGAGTTTGTGCAGACTAACCAGACCTGCCTCATCAGAGAAAGCAGGTATGCAAAATGAAGCATAAGAATAGGTTTATAAAGTGTAATGATGCAGTTTCGTACAAGCTTCCATTGACATGTGGCAAGAATTATGTGGGTCAGAGTGGGCGGTGCGTAAATGAATGTTTAAAAGAACACCGCTACAACATGAAAGAAAAAAGGTGTGGATTCCTCAATGCCCGTTGCATCATTTTTCATGAGTGTTGAATTATTGCTACCAGAAGAGGTTAACCTACTGGGGAATTATTCAAGGATGAAATGATTGATAGGCTGGCAGATAAGAAACTGTACTTATAAACTGCCAATTGCCATTTCCTGTAAGGAGTTAGCCTATCTACATAAAGATGAGTGAAATTACAAAGTGTGTGTGATCATGACAGTTGCAAAGTGATGTGGTTACCTGTTTAGGGAATAAACAGGGTTTACATGTCTTTTCCTGTCTGTGTTTTTTTTTTGTGTGTGCCTTGAAACTGACATACCCACATGCCCAAAACGCTACATTATAATGAAAACACATTGAGGTAGTAGAAACCAGTGTGGTCCTGGGTCTCAATAATATTATGTTAAGTCAGCCATTTGTAATCTATATTAAACACCACTATGTTTGGTTAACTCATGTGTTCAAAAACATATTAGCCATGATGTGTCTACAGTGCCTACAGTGGCACTGGGATTCATTTGCTATTGAATGTGGGAGCTATTTAAAGCAAAAGCCTTTTTCATACTATTAAAGCACTGACAATAGGAAAGTTGCCCCAAGAAATATATCAGTTCAAAGTGCTCAGTTAAACCTTAACAAGTTTTGCTACAAAGATAAATTAGACATTTGTCTAGTGCAAAAGAGAGCAGTAAATACTACTGGTTTGTCCCCGTTTCATTCCAAGTTGAGTGCGTTGCACTCATGGTTGCTATTGTAGAGCATTCAACCATATTTCTTCTTGCGCACCCTATTTATGAGCTACAAAATAGTTTTTGTTTCTTTGTGCATTTGTTAATTTTTCACACTTGTATGTAGGTCATTTTAACAAAAGCAAACTCAGTTAACATATGGTGAAACAGTGCAAGAGATGCGATGAGTGAAACAGGCATCATAATGCACTAAGAACTCTGGTGCAAACTTGGTTCATGAACCGAAGATCTATGTGCACAAATATATGCAGGTGGGTCAAGTGAACAGTGCATCTGCAGGCAGGCGGATCCTTGACCGATACCTATTGCCGATATTTGATGGCTCGGGAGGTGGGCAGAGGTCTGGCACAACAGTACAAGTGCTCCCTGCCTCTGCACCAAGTCTATTCAGTGGTTCGTGTGTGGTTATGTCATTAAGGCTGTACATTTGGCCGATAAAAACAGACCAAGTCATAGCTTGTTTCTGATATTTTTCACTGCTAAAGCACCATAAGCAGTGCCGAGATTCAAAAATTGTGGATGTGATAGGGTGCAGTTGAAAAGCTACTTTTTTATAGCGCCAGCTTACATTAAGAAATAAGTGGAAACATATATAGCAGCAGAATTTTCCTCAGAGCGTTTATGATAATTTGTTTGTTTTCCAGTGCTTCTTTCTTCATGTAGATAAAACTGAAAATCACAGATCACTGCCTGCACTCATACTCAACAGCAGAGCTCTGGTCATCAGATTCTGGTCAAATGAAACTGGGTGTGCTCAAGTGTTTTACTAGTGTACTGCATCAGAGTAAAAAAGCTACACTTTCGTGTCTTATTCACATGTGCTTGCTTAAGTTCAACACGTATGTACTCATAAAACTTGTGTTCTGTTTCATTTGTGACGTTATTATTTCCTCATAACATCCTGTGGTGAGCTAGTCAAGATTTTCTGAGGGGAGTTCATTCATTTTTTGTACAACTGATCTGACGAATCTTTCGCATGTGGAGTTTTCAATTACTGGAAGGAGGAAATCTTGAATCTACAGTGAGTGCCTATAACCATTCTTGCAATCTTGAACTTGAAATGGTGGGCAGTGCATAAGCAGGTGTAATCTTTTAAAGGCTGTCAAAGCATGATCATCTATTCTCGCTTTTTTTTTTTATGGGATTGTTGGCCCTAGACCCTTTCAGTTCTAGGGCATAGACTTGACTGAGATTGACCATATCTGCATCGAACAGCCCTCTTACATTGGCCACATGTAACGATTTATTGCATTGTAAAGGCAAAAACTTGCTATAATTAGTTCTGTGTACATGTTGCTAAAAATATTGTGGCTACAGCGGAGCCTTCTAAGTGGCAGCTTACTCATAGACACTGTCCACTCAGGTGAAGGCAGTGGTTGCACTGTCGACATCTTTGCGAAAATTCTAATAAAATTACAATAAAAGTAGAACACCACCATCATGGTCTTATTGCTAAGCCGTGCCAAGCTCATGTGCAAAACCTCTGTCATCTATTCAGCTAGCACACAGTAATTTCGCACTGTTGTGTTCGTTCTTTCTATTTGCAATGTGAAGTTGCTCTTTACGCCTTTTGAGAGAGTCAGCATGGTGCATGTAGATAGCTCCTCTTTTGGCAACTCTGAAGAACGAGTTAGCACTCATTGCCCAAAACTGGACACAGACACCTTATCTTGCTGTCCATGAGGGTTAAGAATGATGGCATTTCTACTATTTACCTTGGAAGGTGTTGAGAAGTGTGCCTATAGTATTAGAGGCATGCAAGTCCTGTGGAAAGCATAACGCACAAAACTATGCCTAAATAATTTGAAGAAATTGCATACTTTATTTGGCCAGAAATATGTCATAGTACTACCAAGTTTGGCACGTTTATTAGAATGCATTTATTTTATTTGCAGACTTTCCTTCAGTAAGTTTAAAACCAGGAAAATATGGTGAAGGTTCTCAAAATACAAGTGGGGCCTACGAAATGACAGCCTGCTCGTGGGCACTGTCCACTCTGGTGAAGGCAGTGGTGGCACTGTCGACATTTTAGTGAAAAATGATGCAGTATGAAACCGTCACTGCACCCACTCTCCCTGTTTAGTGCACATAGACAAATTCATGCACTATCCATCAATTCTAGACTAGCTAACAATCTCGACGCTAACATTGCCTCTTGTGTTATGGTGACTAGAAGGGGAAGTGGGAACAACGCATCCATTAGGGGATGGCGGAAGGTGTAGCTGTTGTTCGTGTCAATGAGAGAGGGCGCACGCGTAGATTCTTAGATTGCTCTCTCCGGTCAGATCGT